GGGAAGGTGTGTAAGTGTTAGTCGTGTGGGGATGCCCCCTCACGGGGGCGTACGTGTCTTTTGGTGTATTTGTCTGTCTGGTATATTGTTTGTCGGGGGTCGCAATTTTAAAGAAATGTATTCTAAAGTAATGCAAATAACTGATAAATAAGTAAAAACTTACCTGGGCATAACCCCGGCACAGGTGCTGTAACAAAGATGCCGACGGCGTCTATGCTTAAGCCGGGGATTAGGTCGGTGATTAAAAGGAAAGAAAGGGATTCTTTCCAGGTAGCCTTAATAAAGGCAGGTAGAAATTGCTCCTTGCACTACACTTTCACAAAACACGTGTGCTCTGGTCGGCTGCCCGCTAGGAACTGGTGAATAATACAATAATACTGCAAAATATAAATTAATGCAATAACAAACATAATAGGCATTTTCAATTAATAAAGGTTCCTGGACCACCCTGGAGAATATGTAGTGTCGACACTCCGTATTGGAGATCCTCATTGGTTTAGCACTACCACCAACACTAACACTACCAACATTAAAAGCAAAAAAGAAAAAAGACCCAATTCACTATACTGGCCATTCAAAATGTAAATACATGGATGTTAACATAAAATGGCAAGTATATTAGAAGAAAAACTCCGAGAAGCAGCTTGTCTAGGCGACACAGAAGCAGTTCAAACGCTTTTAACTCAAAACGTGAACGTAAACTCCCAAAACCCCGTGAACGGCTGGTAAGTTCATGAGGTAACCTCACTTTTTAACTAACGTAAATTTTTAAGGACCGCTCTGCACTGGGCTTGTAAACGAGGTAACGAAGAGATCACGAAGATCCTAATCGACCATGGAGCAAACAAGCAAATAAAATCCTTTAAAGGCGAAACCCCCAGCGATCTCTGCGCTTATCCAGGCACTTTAGAACAGCTTGGCGTACAGCAGGACGAGCTCAGCATAAAATTCATCCCCAACTATATAAAAAATCCCCCATTGAACGGTCAGGTAGACATTGGACCTAGATTAAGGCCTAAACACACAGATCTTTCAAGCATGCCTACCACTTCTCTACCTACCACACAAAACGATGGTATAATTGATCGTTGACGTGAACTTCCACATATTAAAGCTTATAAAAATTTTAGATCTCGTACTTAAAGTGAAGATTCACGGCTCGACTGATCCGGATTTCATCGAAATTGAAATACCCAAGTGGAAGTTGACATATAACAACCTGCTCAAAATTTGCTGTGAAGAACTGGAAGTCATGGATTGCCAAGTGGAGCGCATCAGGAAATTGCCTAATACCCGTTTGAGGAAGGACAGCGATGTTAAGAGGTTGAAAGAATACCAGGGTTTAGAACTGGTGTTAAAAGCCCCCGCAGCTGGTGACAAATCAAATAACTGTTACCAGAGCATTTCGACTTGTAAGAATCAAACTATTTTGTACTGAAATGTGTCATATCACGGTACTGGAAACTCGAAAATATCTAGAATGATAATCAGCATTGTATATTTTTATCGAATTTTTGGGCAGGTTTCGCGATTTTCAGGAATAATTATAATGATAAACGAGCTGAAGACATTTTGTGATTACTTTTTACATGATAGAAATCACCATTTCTCATATCCGTGCAGCTTAATACGCTTCCTCACTTTAGTATTATTTTTATTCTGAGGCTTAAGCATTATTTACTAGACTAAATAATAGCGACAGTTATATTCTGCCATACTATCTTACCGCAGTATAAAATATCAACTTCTAAATATCTAATTCTTTCCATTTTAGAGGCATAGACAATAATTGATTTTATATTCGCATAATCGATAAAAGATAGCGTCACTGTGCCTGTCATCTGATCGTTATCAGATGTCGACTGGTTTTGTAAAACTCTAGCAGAAATAGAAAAGCACGAATAAATATTATTTTCTTCTCGGTTTCCCTGTTTTGGACTATCTTTTCCCCTCCTTATAGTTTTATTAATATACTTCTAAAATTTAAAGTCGGCACGTTGCACAAACGTCTATAGTGGCAGTCAAAACCGTTAAAACGTTTGAAGCGAACCTTGGTTCAAAAAGTGGAAACTATTCTTAAAAATTATCATTTGGATAAATGCACTTTTAAACTACATATTGATAATTTTTTTCTTAAAATCGAGTGGTCGAGTAAAACGTATTCGATAAATGCTTCTGACAAGATTTTGACCAGCTGGTCAAGAAGCGGGCAACAAGCTTCAAGTTCTCTCTCTCTGTTTATTTACTTATGATCAGATATCTTCTTTTCGCTATTTGGAACCATATTTCCAGATTTCGAATTCCTTGATTTCTTTTTATAATTCCTAACTAGTTGGTGGAAAAATAGATCCTTTTCGAGTAACAGATTTTGTACGAGTGTTCAATTCAGTCATTATTTTTTCTCAATCTACTGAAATATGTTGTTTTTGTTGTAAATGTCTTCCGAAAACTCAAAATTAATATTAAGTCACAAAAAAACAAAGTAAAATGGCGTTTATTCTATATTGCGAAAACATTCTTTGAAAAAACCTTATTTTACTTTACTTTCAGCTTTGCGATTCTCCTTTAATTAAAGTACGAATGACTTCGATTAAAATTATCAACGTGTTTTCAATTAACATTATCGAGTACAAGAGGTGGTCGAAAATGAGTTTCCAATTATTTTTTCAGATTAAAAACAAAATTGTTTAAATTTAGTGATTTTAGAATAACGATTTATCAGATTTGTAGTTGAATTTTTTATGAAGTTATTAAGGCTTAAGTTAAAAAATCTATTAAATGGTTGAAAACAGGCGCAGTGACCCTACTACACATCCTATGAAAATTAACTCACCCCTAAGAATTAGCCCCGATTTCGAGGCTGAACGGCTGATCTGATTTTGATGAACTTTTTTTAATTTTTAACTTTAACAGAAACTTAGTGAAATTTCAGTTATCAGTTGTTTTTTTGTTCCCATAATTTGTAGCACCCTGTAGGCGTAGGTTTTGATTTATTTGTTTCTCGATTCACATGTATATATTTGTTGTTAACTAAAATAACAGTTACATTAAAGCGCAAAGATTTTATCGTAAAAATTTAAAAACTTAGTAATAAAAAAAAATTGAGACAAAAAATTTGTGACAAGAAAATCAGATTGGCCCCTTTTTGATGGTGCGTTAATTTTGATGTGGGGTTTATGTCTTGTTTACACCAGACCACACTAAATTTCGTAAGTAATCTGATTCTAAAAAATTCTACGTAGTCGGATTTTTGATGAAGAAATAGTCTACATCAGATTAATTGCTCAACAAAAATGTAGCGCAAATGCTCATATAAATTTTAAGACTTCTGTAAGCAAGACAAATGTCATCTTAGTAGACCGATCAAAATAAATCATTTAGAGGGAAAAAAAAAAAGAAAATAGTTACCTAGACTTTTATAAGTGGAAATGGTAAAGGAGCTTATAATAAACAAAAAAAAATAAATAAATGCGTGAGCAGGTGTGACGGGGGATTGATTTCGGGGGTTCAAAAGTTGTAAAAAATTGTATCATTGGGATTTCTGGCAAAAATTGATGTCAAACAAAAAAGTATTCCATACAACAGTTGTAGATAATGCAAAAATCTACAACTTTTGTGGAGGTCACTTTTTAAAATAACCTCAAAATTTCCGTGAAAAATGCGAAAAACAGGTTTTTTTCTGATTTTTCGTTTTTTATTTCTCATTTCGGCAAAAATAATTTAATTTTGACGAAACTTGGTGAAAGTATACCTTTTTGTGTTTTAAATAACCACAAATTTTTTTAAATAAAAAATCAAGAAGCTTCCGAGATATTCATTTTTTCCGGTCTGAAATACTTTTGTTTCAAAGAAAAATTCTACTTAAAAAATCATCGTACAGAGAGTTCTGCTAGTGATCATTTTTTCAGTTTGACATACTTTTTGGTGAAATAAAAAAATCTGTAATCACAGTTCAAAAAACATGCTCAAAAATATAAAAAAATTAAAAATGACTTGCAGCAAGCAATTTTTCAGTAATTGTTGATAATTTGTTTAAATTTAAAAAAAAGTCAAAAAAAAAGTTAAAATTTCTAGTAGTTCCGGAGATATCCGGAAAACCTGAAATTTTGCAAAATTGTTAAGAGCCGTACTCAGGAAAAATTTTAAATGATAACTAAAAACCTTTTTAAGCGATTACAATAGTAATATCATCTAATTCAGAATTAAAAATGACTAGATTTTATCATAAAAATAGCAGCGACTTATTTAAAAAAATTAATCTGATGCCCCTCGAAGACATGTCGATTTTGCAAAATTTCGGGCTTTCGGGTTTTGCGTCAACAGTAGACTTTGCAGTTAATACAAAAATAAAGTTTTAGGTCAAACAATGAGACAGTTTTTTTTTGTATTTTTTTCCGTAGAATTGAATGGTCTAATCAGTTTTCGAATTTTTTTAATTTAAACAAATTATCAAGAATTATTAAAAAATTCATTATTGCAAGCCATTTTTTATTTTTTTTTTGCATTTTTGAGCATGTTTTCGAACTGTGATTACAATTTTTTTATTTCACCAAAAAGTATATGTCAAAACAAACGATGATTTTTCTAAGTAGAATTTTTCTTTGAAAAAAAGGGTTTTCAGACCGGAAAAAATGAATATCTCGGAAACTTCTTGATTTTTTTATCTAAAAAAATGTGTGGTTATTTAAGACAGAAAGGTATACTTTCACCAAGTTTCGTCAAAATTAAATTATTTTTGCTGAAATGAGAAATAAAAGACGAAAAATCAGAACAAAAACTGTTTTTCACGTTTTTCTCAGAAATTTTTAGGTTATCTTCAAAAATTGACCTCTGGAAAAGTTGTAGATTTTTGCATGATCTACAACTTTTGCATCGGATACTTTTTTGTTTGAAGTCAACTTTCGCCAGAAATCCCAATGATACAATTTTTCACAACTTTTCAACCCCCCAAATCAACCCTCCCCCTCCCCTGCTCACGCATTAATTTTTTTTAGGTTTATTATAAGCCCTTTTACCATTTCCACTTATTAAAGTCCAAGTAACAATTTTTTTTTTCTCCAAGTGTGATTTGGTGGACTATAGAGCTTAAGTAGAAATAAAATATTTGTATTTACGAAATATTTATTTTAAATATACTGGATATGAAATAAAATCACTTTTTATTTTAAATTATTTATTTTAAATTATGTCAAACAAATTTTTAAAAGTCTAAGGTTGATTCTTAACCTTCTTGTTTTTCTTTCCTTTCTTTTTTACATCTACAACTCCTTTTGATTTCTTCACCTTTGTTTCAAGTTTTACATCTTTCTTGTTATCGACTTCTTGCTTCCTCCGTTTTTCCACATTAGAATTCACTCCATTTACTTTTATTTTTTTCACCCTTTTAACATTTCCATTAAAATTTGCTTCAGAATTTTCTTCAACATTACCACTAGCTCCTACAGAAACTTTTTCAATCTGCTTCCGTTTCTTAGCATTCTTGCTTTTACATTCACTTTTCTTGCTCTCAACTTCAACATCACTTATGTCGCCATTCTCACTAACTTCTACAGAAACTTTTTCAATCTGCTTCCGTTTCTTAGCTTTCTTGCTTTTACCTTCACTTTTCTTGCTTTCAACTTCAACATTACTTCCTTCACCATTCTCACTAACTTCTATGGATACATCTTTACTCCGCTTCCGTTTCTTAGTTTTCTTGCCTTTACCTTCCTTCTTCTTGCTCCCGTTCTCAGCGTTATTCCCCTCACCCGCATCGTCCTCTTCCATTGTCCTTCTCACGATCACCTGTCCCGTTGGTTTCACTGTGACTTCGGCGTTCGGTAACGTCGTTAACTCACCTTTGTATGTCTTGTAAGCTTTCGGTTTCTTGGATTTTATATTTGGTAGTACCACTTCTTTCGGAATCTCTAAAATGTATCTCGTAAATAAAATAGAAAATGCTTTTAACGCTGCTATACTTACTGAATGACGAGTATATGGGGATAGACGTAGCTCTCGCAGCAGAAATGTGTAACCCCTTGATGTTTTCGAATCCCCCTGGAAATTCTTTGTTTAAACATTCGATCGTAGCGAATACGTTATCCACGAGGTCCTGAGTTTCCATTTTATCGTGACCGAATTGAACGCTGTAGCTATCGCCTTTCAGATGCAGAAGGAAGAATGCTTTCGATAACGCTTTATCGATATGTTCCTTTAATTTTGTAGCTTGCAATTTCACCGATGTGGGTACCTTACGTTTTTTATAAAATATTTTCCCACACTTTTTTACCACTTTTCCGCTTATTCTACCGTCAACTAAAAATGCGTCGTACAGATCTACGAGCCTCAACATTTGTTCAAACGTTTCATGTTCAGTTCGAAGCTGATGGAATGTCATAATTTTCTTGATATTCTCGACTCCTTTTGTTCGAAGTAGGTTTTCGTAGTGTTCGATGTGTTTTTCATGTTCTATGTTTTTAACGCCTTTCACTTCAGGGACAATAAGGCACACCTCATCGTCTGGGGTTAATAGCGAATTAGGTAGTGGTATTCTGATTATTCTAGAAGGACCTCGGGGCACCTTGTGACAGCACACCTGCAGGTATATCTCGATAGGATCATCAAACAGTTGATTCTGTATCTTAGGATTTTCTCTACGAAGTTTTATAATAGTTTCTACCGCTTTGGCAATATTTTTAGCTTCAATGCCAAACTTCTGCTCCGAGTCAATTTCATTATCGCCAATTGAATTGTCTTGCACTTTGACGGTGTTCTTTTCCACATTTGAAACTTTTTGTTTAGTTAAATTTAAGGATTTTTTGGCCGATTTCTTTTTCTTACTCACAGAAACAATAGAGTCGGAGAGTTTCTCCTTTTTCTCACTCACAGAAACAAGAGAGTCGGAGGGTTTCTTTTTGATTTTCGGAGTTTTTAACGAAGACGTCTTTTTTTTCACATCATCTGTCAAATGGGTTATTACTAGTTGTTTTCTCTCAACCAAAGTATCTTTAGTACCACTTTCACTGACTGTCCATTCGTTCACGTTTTCCTCTTTTTTCTTTTTCAAGGGTGTGGGAAGTACTGCGGCAATAGATTTTCTCCTTTTTATTGGAGATTTCTTCGACTCGACACCGCTGAAGGAACTGTTCTTGCTAAATTTTTTCTTAACTTTCTTGGAACTTGCAGATTTTTCGGCTAGTATCCCTTTACTTTTTACCATCTTTACCATAAAATGATTAGATATAGATACAACTCGTGTGAAAAAATAAGGTTATGTTGAGTTTATTTAAAAAGAGGTTAGGTTACAAATTAAAAGCACCGAACTCTATACAGAGGTGAATATAGAGTTCAGTGATAAACAGTACAGAAACAACATAGAATACCAAACAAAGGAGCAATCTATAGATCATGGTATGAATTGAACCAGAGATGTAGAATCTGTGAATTGAACTTAGAAACTTAACCTAAAATAATTTTTTTTCAAACAAAAATTTGATGCATTGAAATTGGGGAATACGAATACACCTACCTGATCACTCTATGGACAGTTTGTACACATCTTTTTATTTATTAGATACTACTAGCTACAGATATTGCCTTTTTAGAGCAAAAAAATTGATAAACCACCACAGAAATCCCATTGTTAAAATCGATGTATCCGGTTCCAAGTTATTTCTTAAGTCTTCCACACAAGAAGAATCCGAATTTATAGAAAAGACCCAGGCCAACTTGGAAAATATTTTAAGTTATGAACGGGCAGACCGAAGGTACTTATGTCGTTCTTTCAGATCCGCTCACGTAAAAACCCCTAAATTACTTTTCAAGGTGTGCTAGGTCTCTCGCTACATGGTCATCCGAAGATAAACTGGCCAAGGTGACAAGAACGGTGAAAAGTCTAAACAATTTCGGGTATCAAGATAAGAACGGCACATACCTGTACCCCGAAGAAGCACTGTTTTTGATGGAAACCGTAAGTAACAAGATCTATGCGTTAATTTATAACTTAATTGGAAGAAATCGCAGAATAGGCTGGAAGTTACGATCGACGGAGTGCCACTAAGTGTACAAGAAGGTTACGATTTATTACTGAAACATTGCGAGTGCGATGCAGTCAAATACAGGGTGTACAAGAAGCTAGCGCTTCTTGGATACAGATTGCTTAGATATTCAGAGTTGCGAAGACGATTATCGAAAACGACCAAAAAACAAGATCCAATTACAAATAACTCTACAAACAGTGAAATAAAAAGTGACGAACGTCATAGAAAACGAGTATTGGAAGCGGAAAATGAATTTAATCCCAAGAAAATTAAAATAAATCCAGAAACCGACCAGTTGAAGGGTCAACCAGGTGCAAGTAATAGGAACGTTACACAGTCACAGTACATTTTAAATATATTTGAAAAGTTACGTGAAACCGCACCTAGAGAGTACGATTCCGTTGTTACGGATGACGTAGCGCCTCAATATTGCATATTTTTGCCAAGTAATAAAAGTAGGTGCGATTACGATTTCAATCTATACATTTGGTAAGTCCAAATCAATTATTTGACTGAAGAAAATCAAATCTGAAGTAGTATTGATCCATTTTTTTTTTATTTTTAGCGAGGACTCGATTTTAAGGAGCCAGCACCATAACCATGCGACTCCTTCGATATACGCAATATGCTCAGAGGGCAACATTTCGTTTTATAGGTTTTCCAACACGCGGCTTCCAATTTTATAGTTTTATATACCGTTACATTTTCGGACATAAATAAAAACAATCGATTCACTCAAATTGTGTTTTATTTGCATACAAATCCTTATCCTGGCCTGAAATTTTTAGTTAAATTAAGTACAAATTCAACAGTTTGTAATTATTAAATAAAGTTTGAATATAACCATGACCCATGTATTAATTTATTATTTTCAACATCTTAATATAAAATATCTAACAAGCACTAAAACTTAACAAAAAAAAGAGGCAACAAAGGATGTTTTCATTTGGTAACAGTTAGCTTTGGTTTTTTATAAAATGTAACAAAATCGTATAAAAACACTTACAACTATATTATAACACACATAAATAATATAAAAGTAAAAAACGAACACCAAAGACGGAATATGAGATTATAGGTGAGCTTCAATGGTTTCACAAATTTGTACCTGTTCCTCAACCGGATCTTTGAGATGAGTTGTTTTTTTCCCTGACGTATCGTTACCCCTTTCATAATTCATAAACAAAGAGACACGAACGGGTTATCGTTGAATAATGGGGGAAACCGCACTAGGAGGTTCAAAAAATTGTTTTTTTTTTTTGCATAAAATGTTAGTACCTAAAACCGAACGCCCATCAGGTCAGTGCTCGGGTCCACAACATGTAAGGCCAAATGCTCGTTCAGATACTCTAGTATGTACTTACTAAGAGGGCTCTATAGCAAATAGCCAACCAGCAATACATTTTTCTAGATTTTATTACACAGTTTGTATAAATATGAATGCATGCACATATAACGTAGACTTTCTCCCATTATAACGCAGATTTTCTATAAACTGGAGTTTGTTTGAAATTCAAATTACTTTTTGGTGCAAAGAAATTTGTAATTTACGATGTCGCTTGCTCAAAAGCCGCAAATTACAAATTTCTTTACATCAAAAAGTAATTTGAGTTTCAAACTAAGACCATTTTATAGAAAATCTGCATTAGAATGGGGGAAAGTCTCTGTTATTTGTACAAGCATTCAAATTTATACAAACTGTAATAAAATCTATAAAAATGTATCGCTGGTTGGCTATTTGCTACAGAGCCCTCTTAAGCAAGAAAAGAACAGCTGCAAGCTCAGAATGATGCCTATGAGGAAGAGGGACTGTTATATGGTGCTGCAATTGCTAATTGATCGGAAATAACTCTTAATTATTCATAATTTTCTCAAATTTCAAATTTTTGGAAATCTTCAATCGCGCTTTTCTCAAAACATTTTTTTTAGTTATGAACCGATCGTTATGAAAATTGAAGTGCGTTTCTTTATGAAATTACAAAGGACATAAACCAACAATTGGGATGATATCATAATTTTAAGGGTGTTTTTTATTCAAAATAAATGAAAAAAAATGGTTAAAATCGATACATTTTTTTCAAACATGTATCAAAGCTTCAATTTTCACAATTTTTACCCGCAATGAGGTTCATATTCTTAGAAAACATGAAATAATGCAAAAAAACAACCCGTTTTGCTTCCAGATCAAAATTGCGATCTTCGGTGGACAACAGCCCGTTGCTTCGGCATTTGCAACACAAATGACTTGAAAAAATTTGTAAATGTAAAAAATAATGTCAAAGTTTGATCAAATTCTAATCAATTTGTCTCAATAAAAAAAATCATGAGAACCACCTGAAAATCAGCCTCTTAATGTGGTATCCCCCCTTAAAGAGAACGATAACGTAATACAAAAATATTTCAGCTGAGGAATTAGGAAAAATATTTTCCGAAAGACCCGGTCGATTATCTTTTATCAAGGAATGAAATAAAAAAAAAACAAAGTACGTCTATAAATAACGTACGAAAACAATACTGGAGATTAGATAATGACACTAGACAGAATATCTTAAACCTTTTGTAAATAGTTGATAAGATACTTATTGTTGTTAATAAAACAAGATTATTTTCACAAAGATATGGCTTAGGAGAGACATATCAGAGACAAAGGAAAACAATTTATTAGGCAAAATATGTCGTAGAGCACCTAGTTTCCCCATTAAATTTTTTTTACAGTTTTGAATTTAAATCCAATTTTTTTTGTTTAATTAGCATATTTTTATCAAATCGATGTATATAACTAGATATTTACGCAATAAGTTGGGTCATAAACTATAAATTATAGAGATAGCATTAATTAACTGACATAAAAATATAAAAATAAATTCGTAACAAGTTAACAGCAAAATATTAAGTAAAATTCTCGAATATACGATGAAATTTCTCGATGTTGAAGAACTGACGGCGAAACTAGGTACAAAATGGTAGTATTAGTGGGATATCCGTGAAAATGAACACAATCGATTTAGTCTCATGGTACCTACTTAAAGTTAGTAACAAACTATCAACCAATAAAGTAACAAACGGAAAACAAAATTAAGTCCCAAAGCACTTCTAAATCTACGTTATCTAAACGATTCTAATCGAGTAATATTTTAAGACATCTCGTTTCATTTTATTGCAGCTAGACTTTTAAATTTAATTTATACGTTGTAAATACTAAACAGAATTCTTTCTAATCGAAACCCGTAGATTTTGAGAAATCGTAAATCTCGTTCGCGTTTGTACGCAATTTGGAAAATATTAACCGACTAGAACGTGTTGCTTACCTACGAACCCTACTGTACGGATTAAAGCTCTCTGTGTATTCTTTGTATTCTAGAGGTATATAGTTATATAAAAATTGACTGTTTTTTTCACAAACGATAATTATAAAAGTGGCGACGCCGGCCACAAAATTAAGTCCCTAAGCCCAACCGAAATTGATGCCGGTCATCTGGTAAAAGTGGTTGTTGAACGGCCTATAAAAGTTCCTAAGACGCTGCAAGACTACCGGATTGACGTAGGGGTGGCTACGTCCCTTGGTCTTACCTAGACAGTGCGGTGCGCTGTGCCCCTCGCTCTTGAACAAACAAGGGAAGCCCTTGGTGGAGTTGAAGTAGAAATGCTTCTCGGTCACCACTCGCTTCAGTCCTAAGAAGTCTTGTACTCTTTTCAGCTCGATAGCCGGGTCTAAAACGAGTCTCTCGCCGCTTACGAATAACAGCTGCGACAAAGGAAAGAATTTCAGCCACCTAGCCAAGTACCTCGAGTAGATGCCGAGCTTGACGGGCCCCCAGGACGTGTCGATGATACTCCCGATGGACCCGTTCACGAAAACTAGCTGCTCGAAGGGTTTCATGTCGTATTTCTTGGAAATGGCTTGAGCGTAGTCGGATATGGCTCTAGTGACGGGATCTCTAACTACTACTAACAGTTTAGTGGAGGGATTCATAAGCTGCACCCGTCGGGGCGCCTCTTTGGTTATAAAGTACGAAGGGGTCTTCTCTATGGTCAGTTGACCTTCTAGGGTGGCGGGCATGTGGTTCCTGTACCATTGGAAACCTCTCATGTAGTTCTTGTCGAAGAAGTGTACCTCGTTGCCGGCAGCGCGGACGTCGGGGTGGATCCGTATGAATTCCAGGAGGGCTCGAGTTCCGCCTTTCTTAACACCTATAGAGTCTGATAAGACACTGATATAACAAAGAAACACGATCTTACCTATGATTAAAGCACTTGGTAGCTGCCGTTCCGGTCTCAAACCCTGTTCCCTAAAGAATTTATATTTTGGCGATATGTCAGTTTCGTTGCCTTCCAACAAGGACACCACACGAACCGATGTCGAGTAATGTACCACTGGTACATCGTTTGCCACCACCGGGTGAATATGCCACTAAAACATTTTCGGACAGGAAATATAAAACAAACTCAAGTTTATTTCATCGAGTACTTACTTTTGGTATTGCTTTGGAGATGCTAGACACCACACACGAGTTGAATATGAAAGTAATGTAAAAAGATATCGCAGCTAGGATTATGAGGGCCAAAATAATCTTCCTCGAGACGAGAATTTCCATTCCCTCCGATTTTCAAGAGCATGTCAGAGATATGTGTCACATCTGAAAACCTAACGGCGTACTGGTTGTTGTTTACGAATCTGTATCGGTGTTTATTTAAACGGGTAAACAAAGGTGCCCAGTTCAAGGCAGTCAGATATAGCACGTTGCATAATTAAACTTACGTTTAATATTCAATTAGAAGCGGCGCGTCCGCGAAATCATAATCACCACGTCCGGGGACCGAATATCAATGCACTGCCGCATTGATTCACTTCATTTTTATTGTTCTTTGTGATTATTTTTTTTACACTTCGGTTCTTTAACCTACAAATGCAGTCAAGTGACAAATCAAAACAGACAGGAAATAAGTGCGCTAATACGCCTACCGCTCCACAGATGGCCCATGTGCGATTACTGAATTCTTCCTAATATGTCAGTAATGTTTTTACAGTTTCTTCATAGAGGGAAAACGTAAGGTATTGACGTTAGGTAAACTTCTTGTTTGAGGGTAGCGTAAAAACGCGACAAGGCGATTGGTTATTATTTTATCGCGATTAGCAATCATAATGCCAAAGAAAATACTTGATATTTACTTTTCAATTTGTAAAGACAGAATAAGTGATTATAAAAATAGCAGTTAACTGCGGTTTGGTTTTTTTTTTCCAGAATTGAAGTTCATTAGGCTCGGTCTCGTTTGCCAAACCAGCAAACCATACTTGTGAGGTAGATTTTAGAGAGTTAATAGCCTACTATTGTATTAAATTCGTATAATTCAGTTTGAAAACGTACGATAGTACTTCTCTTCAATTTATAGCACAGACAAAATTTTTTCGCGATGAAATACTTGTATTTCCATGACCATTTAAATTTCGCGCCCTGTTCTCTAGCCTGTTTCTTTATTCTATTTACTTAGAACTCAAAGAGCATTTTAACTGGGCTATGTTCCCATTTCTTTTCGAGTTATTTACTTAGCAGTGTTGTCTCTGGAGTTGTCAGTCACAAGAGAAAAATAATAGTCTCCTCTTTATGTCTCTATAAAATAAGTAAATCTCGCAGTAAAAGAATGTTTCCCTGGCCTGGCCAAAACAAATTTTCAATAAACCGTTGTCTCAGTTTTCAATTTACGATTGCAAAATTTATAGTAGACTACTACATTTGAAGGTTTTGACGGTACAATTTGATAAAACTCAGTATGATTTGGGAAAAAACTGTAAACACTATTTGTTAGTTCGGAATAACCCTGATTTCACAATAACTATCCGAGACACCAGAGGAAGCAACAGACAATTTTTCAGATGTCAGCACTCGGGAGATTTTTTAACCAAATTTGAAACGTCAAAGTCAAAAATCTCGCGCGCGACGAGGGCGGCGCTCACGCGCGTGCGCGGGCCCTGCGCTCCTTCTCCTGCGTGCAGACAGTTCATTAACGTTAACTTTTACTGCTGCTAGCGCGTTTATTGCATTAAGTATCAATGTGAAACTTTTTGGAAATAGAAGTTTAACCTTTTCTTTAATTGTCTCTAAAATCCTGGTCCGATACGTCCGATAGTTAATTAATAATTAACGTTATATAAAAAAGTTATCTTAAGAACAAAGAGACGTAGGTGATTTCTCTTTTTTTAAAATTACCATAAAAGTAAGCTCTATTTAATGCAAAAAGAGCGAATTCCCAAGCGGCTTTTGCCTGACCCTGGGACAATTTGTTTATAGCGTTGTTTTGCACATCCTACTTTGTTAATTGTAAAAAGCTATACTTAATTTCAACTGTTTAAAATTTTTCCTTTTCGATACGTTTCTTTGGATCAATTAGAACCTACGTCTACAACATTAACTACTAAAATTAACGTATAGTAATTAAACAATTACCTATTTGCAAAAGAAAACAAATGAAATGAATTAACAAAATAAATAGCTAGAGCATTAATTTCACGGCCAATTGAATCAGCGTTTAGCACACATGTAGGTCATATTATTGACCGTCTTTTCCAAAAATTTCATCAACATCCATCGGTTTTTGAAATAATAATACGCAATTTTTGAAAACCGATTTTTTCGCGTTCGACCTTTATTTTACAGTTAACAAATTAGTGAAAAATGACTATAGAGGCCCCAAAAAGTAGAGAAAATAAAAGCCCACAAAACAAAAAAAAAAAAATACTCAAAGAGCGCCTAGAGATTCGCGAGAACAGAAAAAAAAAGTGAAAAAACACGTAATTTTGCCACTTATTTACAATTTGCCAACTTAACGTCACTTCTTTCGAGTTAATTTTTTGATATAATCATTCTAAATACCCTCCCCCCTTATAAAGTGCAATAAACTGTCTACTAATAATTTCAAAGCTAAAACAAATTGCGATTTATGATTTCATATTGCGAAAAATAAAAGAAAACAAAAATATAATAAGTTATTGGAAATATAGATAGAAACAACCATAAAAACCAAGAGCTACGAATTAGACAACTTTCAGTCATTTTTTGAAGGCCACTTTTCCTTTTTATCGGCAAAAACGACTAATAAATCCGAAACTACAGATGGCGCCACATTAGGCGCAGTCGGAGCGCTAGCGATCTTTCCTCTGTTAATCTTTGAGCTAAATATCAGTTTAAAAATATCAGAACGTCAATTTACGTTTAAAAAACTCAATTTTCTAACACTTTGGACTTTTAAATTACACTCGACCATCGCAAGACCGATCGTACCGAGCGTATACACCTGTTACACGACACGATAATTCCAGTAAGACTTATTACAGGTAATGGCCCCAACAAATCAAGCATTTTCTATTTCCACGGCCGCCGGTGATTCGTCCACAAATTGATATGCGTATGCGATGTGGTATTTGCATATTAAAGACATGCATATACGCCGTTCGAAAGCGAACTTCCCACAGGTCCCGTGCATACATGTAAACTAAAATCTCAATTATAACATATCTACATGTAAATCGGTATACGCGCTGCGACCCGAGGACGGCCGTTTCTTTTTAATCGAAACGGGCGATCTGGCGTTGCCGTTGGGGTGCTTCCGCGTGTTTAGAAAGCTAATGGGATGAGCGATGGGATACGTAGTTCGTTGAATCCTGTAATGCATGTTTTGTTGGAAAAAACCTCGGGAGGGTATCTTCGAGATAAATATTTCTGTTTAATTGGAAAATAAAAACATAACGAGTAGGTAGACGTAGACACTGCCAGAGAATGGTGTAATTACTGCATTCTATAAGAAGCTTCAAATACAGGACGTTTCAGGAATAGTCGACTTGGCTCAACATTTGAATTCGAGTTTTCAAAACAAGAGAAAAAGAGTTAAGAGGAAATGTCACTAAATACTTTACTTTTTAAGATGCAGGGCACTAAAACTGAAACGGAATTTTACATTTTTTAAAATATCTGATGGAGATGTTCGATGCAGAGGCAGACCAGCGGGGATATCGAGAATTTCTATAACTCAAATCAGACGCCACTAGGTATTCTGTAAATTCGTTTGCTGCTTCGAGACTTTGGAAGAATGAAAATAAAACAAAATATATCAAAACAGTCTTAGAATGCATCACCATGCATCAAAATAGTTCCTAAATAACATATAAAAAAGCATCAGTACAGCTACGCTACAGAATACGTGCACAAACACGGAATTGGAAAACATTCTATCAAAAAGGCTTTGGAATCTATTATAAATACGTCAAATACATTAAAATGATTCAAAACACTGCCAAAATATATCAAAAACTGGAAACTACTTGGAAAACTTCACAATTCTCCGAAATACTTAGGTATATATACTGCTGTGGACAAAAAAAGGTACCCACTTAAAACGTTTATACGGGTTCAAGTTATGACATTAATAAAGTCCTGTTTTTTAAAGAACCATATAACCATAACACCTTTAGATTAGGAAATCATCTAGCCCGAAAATTACCATTTCATGCATAATTCTTCGGTCAGGCTGATTATTCGTGAGCAGATAGTAAAAACAGTGTTAGTCCAGTCACTGAATCATTTTGGCTTCCAATATTTTTAGATGGAATGGATTGACGTGAAATATAAACTGGGAATTTTTTTATTAAAAATAACCTCACGATTCGATAGAGGGACGAATTCTACGCAAAAAAAATTTGTACAGTCAATAATTTTTGAGTTATTTGCGCCTAAACATGTTCGTTTTTAGCCCAAAAATGCTTGTTATTGAGCCATTTTTCGCGAATATCTCAAAAACTACAAGTTTTCTCAAAAAAAATGATCATAAGCAAAAATGAAGGTAATTAAATAGCAAAGAGATTGCTTTTTTATTTTTGTAGGTGGTATAGAACCCGAGTTATGACTTCCAGAAGTTGAAGTCGATTTCGAAGATAGCTAGCTATAATCGAAACGTCCTGTAGCGGAAAAATTAAAGGTTTTTCGAGGAAAACTTATATAACACCTATTAAAGTTCTTGAAAAGACCTTTAAATTGAGTGATGGTAGAAGTCGTTAGCATGAAAACTAATGTTACAATCAAAATAAAATGATTGTCTTGATTTTGTAGATCTTTTAAAGTCGAACAAAAAAATATTTTACCATTTCTCTGTAGAACCGTCAGAAAAAAAGTTACAGTCGAAAAACTCGAGTTTCTACTAAAACGGCATGTTTGATCAACTTTTAAACAATGTCGCCCGTCTTTTTCAGCGAGCGGATCCGGTACATATTATTCTATACTATTTTTACTACCTGCTCACAGAAAATCAGCCTGACCGAAGAATTATGCATGCATACCTACCCCTATATTTCCTGGTCTACTTTCCAGAAACCTTTGGACATATCTAAAAAACCTCGAAATACCTCAGAAACGTCAAAATACCTGGAAATACTTCGAAACCGAAGAATCATATATCTTGAAAATACTTTAAAAGGACAAGATCAATGACCAGATGTCAAAGGTGGAGAACACAAGTCAATATTCTTTAATACTAGGAGTCGCTGACTTTTTGTCTTAGAACATTAGCCTTTGGCTCAGAGCTTGCCTTTTGACCCTGGCAGCATTGGCCTTTGGCCCGGGAACATTAGCCTTTAGTGCAGAAGAAATTGCACTTTAGTTCTAAAGCTTTTGAAGTTTAGACAATTAATCCTAACACACCCTGTATACTAAGAAGAAAATATATTTTGTTTAATATTCTAATGCAGAACAATTATTTTATACAATATTGAAGGCAGCACTCAACCTGTCTTTAACATTGTTTATATTTTTAAGCATTTGCGCTAAATATCAGTAATTTGCACAATTAGATCACGAAGTACATCTGCGTTATAATTATCAATTAGTC